CAATTAGAACATTAGTAAGCCATAAGGGCTAAACTTATGGCTGCTATACTCATTATTTAGTTCTAACTTCCCCCACCCGACTAGCGCCACTACTACATGAGGCTGGTTGGCGAGAGTTTATGGGGGTCAACTATACCAGTCTGTTATCAGCTTTTGACAACCGTGCACTGTGTTTCTGTTTGAAGTGGGATTTCTAAATATTTGCGCAGCCTGACAGTATTTTTTAATTCTGCCTGCTTAACAGCCCATCATGTCAAAGAAGACTACGAAAATGTGAAGGAAGAAAATAGATTTTTTTAATGAGGATTGGAAATTGCAATATTATCTTGTTTATGCTAAAGAAAAGATGATTTGTTTGCTTTGTGATACTGCAATATCAACATTAAAGAAATTCAATGCTCATCAGCATTATAATACTCATAAGGACCACAAATATTTTAAATTAGAGGGAAAGACAGGAAAGGTTGTATTGCAGAAATTAAAAAATAAAAAGCAAAAGACAATTCTTTCAAGCAGCAACAAAACCTGAAAATAATGCCAGTAAACCAACGTACAAAGTAGCTTATATACTCATGAGAAAAGGGAAGCCATTCAGTGATGCAGAAATTGTGAAAGAATGTACTATTGAAGTTGTAGGATGCTTAGACCCCAATAATGTTTCAAAGTATGAACAACTGCCTCTTTCAAAGAGAACCATAATAGATTGGCAGCATGAATTAGCCTTCAACTTAACAGAACAACTTCATGCAATACTTCAAAAGGAAAATACATATTATTCAACCTCTTTGGATGAATCAACCAATACTACTGACTCGGCACAGATTTTATACTTCATTCAGGTCATAACAGAAGATTTTCTTGGCTACAAATGTTACTCGCTTTAGGCACTCTTGTGAACAGAACACAAGAAATAGATATCTTCAACAACTTTCAAGATAAATTTAGTGAGTGTATGTACAGACAGTGCACCTTCCATGACCGGAAAACATGAAAGGTTTATCACACAGATAAAAAAAATATTAACATATCCAGATGCTCTCATTTCTTTTCCTTGTATTTTGCATCAGCAAAATCTCTGTGCTAAAGGCGCTATTTTAAGTGACACTTTGCAACGAGTTATAAGTATTGTTAACTATATTCATGCAAATGCAACATGGCATAGTCAGTTTTGTAACATGCAAAAGTTGAATGATGAGGTATGCAATGTGGATTTGCTGTATCATTCTAAAGTACGTTGGCTACCACAGGGACAGGTGTTAGCCAAAATTTTATCTCTGCAAGAAGATGGTTAAATTTTATAAAGAACAGAATGAGCAATGGGAATTATTGAAAGAAGATTTCTATAGGAAAGCAGCATTTCTGTGTGATATCATGTCAAATCAAAATGACTGGAATATTTCTTTGCAAGGCTAAACTAAGTCTATATAGGAAATGTGGTGAAAAATCCAAGCATTTTGAAAAAAAACTATCTTTTTCAAATCACTTCTTTTTCAAAAGGAAATTTTAGATGAACATTTTCCCCAGTTAGCAAAGGTCATTGAAAAGCAGGATGATATATGTGAATCATCTGAAGAACACCCATATATTATAGACTTATTAATTGGAGAATACAATGAAAGGTTCATTGACTTTGAGAATCACGACATCACACTCAAATTAGCATTTCAGCCACCCCCAGTTGATATCATCAAGAAATTGATTGAGTTCTCAGTAGATGACATTTTAAAGTCATTAACGGATTCTAAAAAAGATCCAATTGAAATATGGAAAAATGAAGTAGAATACCCATGCATTTAGCAACATGCCTGAAAAATGCTTTCTTGCTTTTCAACCATTTATTGCTGCATTCTGATACTTAACCCAAATCAAGATGCCCTTAATGTCACAGATGACTAATATCCATCTAGAGGATCAACTGAAACTGCAGACCCCCGAACCGCAACCAAATATTCAAATTCTCTCA